TCCCAACTCATGCTCTGTCTCTCTCAACAATAAATAAACATTAAAAAAATTTTTTTTAATGAAATAAAATTGAATTTAGTCCATGGAAGCAAAAACAAAGAGTTTCTTCACTATTCAGTCTTCACTGGGCTTTGTCCTCTTGATGTTTGTGGTTGGATTGGGAATTCTAGGATGGTATCTCTCCACTTGGCCTTTTTTTCTGCCCCCTCTCTTTTTCTACTCCGACCGGTTGAAACAAAGAAAACCCCTCAACCAGTCAGTGATGCTCATTTGGAAAAGGAAATACTTCTTTAGGGCGTTAGGTTGTCCCCGTGACAAGAGGGGCTGTTTTGGGGAAGTCGCCACTTGCTTCTCTGCTTCTCTCGGCCTCTCTGCTCGCGTGACTCTGTTGGACTAATGAACGAGATGTCCTCCTGTGTCTGGACGTCTGTCTCACATGTACAGTTTGAAGAAGGGAAATCTCCATGACCCGGCAAGAGACGTGTCCTCTTTAGAATCGGCATTCTTTATTATATCAGACCTGGCAAGACTGAGCCCAGGGACACCGCTGGGGAACTGCTTCATCTCATTAGGTGTGAAATGTCCTTCAGAGTCAGGCTCAGGGCCATGACGGCCGTGATGATTGCAGGGATTACGACGAGCTAATGCACGGGTGGACCTCGGTCATGAGGTGGCTCATTCTCGGGCTCCTCCAATGTAAACTTCCCCAAGTACAGTAGGGGACTCTCTTCCCATTTCTTTACATTTCTCATTGGGAGGGCCACTCCAAGAGCTCCTAACTTGGAGCGTACAGCAGGATCACCAAAGAAATCTTAGGAAAAAGTACAGAATCCTGAGCCCCGCCCAGGAAGTTCTAATCCAGCAGGTGGCTGGGGTAACGCCTGGGATTCGGAAACGGTTGCAGCCCACCTTTGGTTTCAGGCACACCTCTAGTTCAGTACCGCAGCCCTAGATGGGGACCCCGGAGGCCAGAGACTGTGTCTGAGTATCCGTCCTACCCCCCGCTGGCACGTTGAAGGTGGTAAATACATGGAGAAGCGGGCGAGATCCCTCCCTATTCACAGTTCTTTCTCCTCCTCTCGTTGCAGATATTCCTGTTATTCCGGATCTGGAAGAAGTACAGGAAGAAGACTTCGCTTTGCAGGTGGCAGCCCCCCCCAGGTACGTTACATTAGGTGTGGAGTTGGCGGGAGGCGGAGAGCATGTGAATGAACACATGCCCAATACCGCGTACA